TTCCTGACACAATAATTTTCTACTCTGTTCCTGAGCCCAGAGGTGCTCAGGAAGATTCCAGCAGGGTGGTTGGGGCAAGAGGGGCTACATCTGATCTGCCACACATTTGGGATAGGGATAGGAGGTGGAGAAACCAGAATATAAGTTGCTTTAATTCAGGTCTGATTTCCTGAGCTAAGTGGAACTGAATAATTTTGGGTCTGTCTCCTGGGTTCTTTTCCATGGGAAAAAGAAAACAGAAATCTAGTAGGCAGAAACCCTAGGATTTTTCCGTCCATTTCTACCCCATATTCACTCACAGTGCCTGAATGGATTTTCCCAAAAGTTTCTGCCCTTCCTCTTGCTACATGCAATCGGTCTCACTTCTCTGTCTTTAAAAGACAATTCCCTACCTCACCCCCATGTTTTCTCAAAACAAAATTTATTTTAATGCTATAGTATAGAAACACACACATACACAGGTAACTCAGGAAGAGGCTCCCTTCCAAAAACATCTGTTCTCCCTGCATTCCTAGATCCCTACACATGGAGTTCTGGTGTGATAGATGATTTGGGAGTGCTGGAGGATTTTAGCCAGCGGCTTGGAAGCTTGGACATGAAAGAGAGAAGCAGGCATATGGTAATAACATATTGATGGCAGAACAAAGAAGCTATGGTAATATTAACATTTATATCACTGTGTACTTTATTAGTTCACTGAATCCTCACAACAGCTTTCTGGGGTGGGAAGGGCTTGCTATTATTCTCATTTTACAGATGCTGAATTGAGGCACAGAGAATTTGAATAATTTGCCTCAGGTCACCCAGCCAGTACAAGGTGAGGACAGATTTCAAGGCACTGGGATCTTAACCACACTGCTAATGATCGTCCTCTTCTCTACATCACCTGCTACCTGTGCTGGTTGCTGCAGTTGCTATAAGTTGAGGGCAAGGGGGAGAGTAAACAATCAGTCTTCTTCAGTGAAGAATAAAAGGGGACAGCCTCTTAATGAGAGTTCATTGAGAGCAGATACTCACTTCTCCTTGTCTCTCTAAGAATAGACATTAGACCTGGAGCAGACAATCAGTAATCATATATGTCTGTTGGATATATGGATGGATGAGCGATGGGAGGGTAAATGAGTTTATGTATGAACAGGTAGATGGGTGAGTAGATGTATAGAAGGATGGGTGGATGGGTGTGGGGGTAGAAGAATGGGTGGGTAGGTGGGTAAGTAGCGGGGTAGATGAGTGAGTGAAAAGGTAGATGGATGTGTGGAAGAGGAGTCTGCACAGATTTGAAGTTAATAGACCAAGTGCTCAGACTAGATCTCCCTAAGGCCTGCTCAATAATTCCATAAATTAAACAGTTGCCTCAGAACAAGGCAAAAGCAGCCTTTCTAGGAGGCAGACTAACTTCAATTGGGGCAGAGGAGTAGGAAAGCTAGTGGAAAAAAATGGAAGACTTCAGGTGTGCCCTCATTGGAGGCTCTTGGCATGGGGTGGGCTAACTAGAAGAAGGATATCCTGTGATTGGTGGAGAAGCATATTTGGCTGTCTCTGGTTGGTGCTAAGTTGGAAGCAGGGACAAAAATTAGGGAAGTTATCAGTTATTAATCAATCCTTGGTGCTGATTGCAGAAGTTATTCTTTGGCTTTATGGACTGGTTGCCAGAGATAGTGGTCTGACTTCCTCCAAGCCTGACATAGGTAGCAAGATGGCTTCCTAGACTGGTTACTGTAGATTGTGGGTCAGAGTCCCATTTCTATGTGTGGTCTGCCCATTGTGCATGTGTATTCAGTCTCTCAGGGTTTAGAAATTTTTGACATACAGTCAGATACTATATGGTCCTGAAGATATGTGTTGGGATGTAAGGAAACAGATTTTTGAGAACTGTCTTCTGGTAGAGGACACAAAGAGAACAAGAAGCTACCCAAGCCTGTTCATTTTTCCATTCATTCATTTACTCAACACATATATTTGGCAATTGTTTTTTTTTTTTTCATGTTCCAGATATTGTCATAGGGGTTCCTGCCCTCCAGTGGAAGAAATCCTAGTTATTGTGACAGCATATGAGAGGCAGAGCTTCTCTCAGAAAGAGTTGGGAGGATGTGGAAGAAGTGACACACAAGCTGAGACAAGATCCAGGTTAAGGAGGAGAGGAAGTGAATTCTGGGTAGAGGGTACAGCATGGGCAAAGGCTGAGAAATGAAGGGGAATGGAGGGGACCACAGATATATTCTGACCTGTCTCCAATAAGTCATGTTTAGACCTGACTTTCCAGTGTAATTACTAATCACATTCCCTTTCACTTTCAAAATGGTCCTGGTTTGTTACCTTAAATATGGTTCATTTGAGAAATGTGAGGTTGAGAGAGAAGGGTAGGAGCAGAAGTGAGCTGCAGGGGCAAGATCATGCAGGGCCTCAAAGGTTACCTTAAATGCAGTGGGCCCTGGCCTCAGAGATAGGAGGGCTATATGGAGTGAACTGGAGAGCCAAGTCCTGCTTAACAGGGTGGCTCTGCTCAACTGTAGTCTTATGTTGCCAAACACTCCCATTTCTCGAGAGGCCATAAATCTAGATTTCTCTCAGAAATCTCTCAATTTAAAAATGTCAGCAACTAATCAAAATCAAATAAACAAATAAAACCAGTGTGCTAAATAAAATCTGTGGGCTGAATTTGGCTCCAAAGTTGCCAGTTTGAAATCTCTTTTATAAACTGTAAGTGGTTAAGAAGTAAGGGTTTCAAAAAATAACCAGAAGCCTGTGAGCTTTCTCTGGGGCAGGGAAATCCACACCACCAGGACACACATCTCTAGATAGTCTCTCAAAGGAGAGGGAGGGGAAATACCTTCCTAGTGCCTTTCTTATGCAGCTAGGAAAGAAACAGGTTAGTTAAATTCTCTGTCAGGTAATTTTGCCACCAGGAGGAAAGGGAAAAGGGGATAGGACCTCCCCATGGTGCTCTCAGAGGCTGAAGATAAATCCTTAATGATCGAACCAAGTGGGCTCATCAGGAAGGTCCTATAGATGGAGAAAGCATAACTGAAGTCTGTGACCATCCCAAGGATGCATAGAGGAGAACACTTCCAGCTCCTCCATTTTGGATGCCAGGCATGTCATGAGTTGTGATAAGAAGGAAGAGACTCAAATGCTAGGATTTGGGGCAGTCGTACAATTAAAAAGACTTCAGGCTTTACCACAAGTTTACTTTCTTGGACCACATAGGAAAACAGAAAGATGTTAAGGAGAAAGGGAGGATGCTGCTCCTCTCAGAGGATGTGATTCCGAAGTTGTACACTGACTCTACTCACATTCCAGTAGCTAGAACCTAGCCATAAAGCTATCCCTAGCTGCAAAGGAAACTGGGAAATGTGCTCTTTAATTGGGTGGCTGTCTTAGTTATCCACTGCATCATGACAAACCACTCCAAATACAGCGGATTGAAACATCAACCATTTATTATTTCTCACAGTTCTGTGAGGTGACAATCTGGGCATTTTTGTTGGCCTTGCCTGTGGCTGCAGTCATCAGATGGCAGGACTGGGCTGGAAGGCTCATGATAATCTCATGTATGAGTTGTGCTGGCTCTCATCTGGGGGCCTCAGTCATCTCCTATATGTGGCTGCACATTCACCGACAGACTAAATGGGTCTCCGAGTTGTGCAAGGGCGAGAGCAGAAGCTGCAATTCTTCTCAAGGTCTGGGCTTCTCAAGGTCTGGAGCCAGACAGAGCCAGGTTTGAATCCCAGCTCCATTCCCTTTTCATCTGTATGACCTCTAAGTTGGTATGATCTCTAAGGCTCGGTTTCCTCATAAGTGAAATTCAGATACTATCAAATAGTAAGTGGTGGCCACTTAGCAGGACTGGTGTAAGAATTAGACAGGGTGCATGCTCAAGCCACAGTCATGGTTACTGCATTGACAAAGTATGAAATATGAGCACTGGGGAGAAAGGGGGGCTACCCAGAGACAGCTATCAAAACTTTACCTGCAAACACCTTAGGTAGCAGGTGCTATTGGTGCCCTGTTTGGATCCCTGTGGGCCTTGCCAGGGGCTATACTCACCTGTCAGACTTCCAACTGGCAGCACCTATATCCATTTCTCTGGCCACCAGAACCACTCTGGCCACATTCCAAGCAAGCCAGAAGTGCCGAGAATTAACACCCACCCCTTCCCACCAAGAGCAGCCCTCAGCCAGTAATTCTATGGAACTGGTGTATACATACTCCAGCTCCTTCTCTTCTAGGGCGGGACACTGTGAAAGTGCAGGTTCTACTTGCTCCCAGAACTCTCCAGTAGGGTTACACTACAGAGGCTCACAGTGGTGCCCCTTTTGAAAACACACCCTTTACTGGCTGCTTTCCTTTCCCCAGTTCACATCCCTCCCCTATTGGTATTTCCTGGGGTCACTCTTAAATAAACTTTTTTCACTCAAATTCTTATCTTGAATTTGCTTCCAGGAGAGCCCAAACTGGGAATATATCCTTACACATATGCAAAATGACATAGTCAATTTATTAATTCACCATTGTTTTAATCACGAGAGATTAGAAATAACATATCAAAAGGAGACTGGTTAAATACACTATAATTCACTCACACAATGAAATATTATTAAGATGCATAAAAGAATGAAAAAGTACTTTATATCTTATATGAAACAATGTCTGAGCTATATTAATGAAAAAAGCAAGATGCAGAACAATATAAATAATGTATTTTATTATTTGTGTAAAAAGCATGCATGTGTGTGTGTGTGCGTGCACACATGTGCATTCATTTGCATACACCTAGAGTCTTTGTGAAGGAGATTCCAAAACACAGAGCCTTGACCACCCTTTAGGAGTGGCTTGAATGGCTGAGGGGACCAGATGTAAAGGAGACTTTTCACCACACACCCTTGCACATCTTTTGATTTTTGTGTTCTGGACAGGTTTATCAATTCAAAAAATAAAAGAAATATTAAAATAACAAGTAAACAAATAGATAAAAGGAGGTGTATCATTGCTTATTGGGCATATTTACTTCTCATGTGGGATGGGTTTGGACAGGCTCCTGTTGACTAACCAGATACTGGTTCTACATTGGTTTCTCCAAGCAGTATCAGTCCCAGCTACACAAGCTTCTGCAGGTCTGCATGTTCATCCACAAAGGGAGGTCTCATTTCCTTCAGTGGGGAGAGCATCTACTGCTTTCCTTTTAAGTTCACCCACAAGACCCGTCATCACCTCTGTCTAGGAGGAATGCCTACCAGCACCTTCACACAAGGAAGCCCAAGCAATTCCCTTGTGCCTGAGAAGGTGTACTGAAGGCACTTGCCCCCATGCAAGAGACATCTGAGTCACACACACTCATGAGCACAGTTGCACACACACACATGAATGGAAATGGAAACCCAAGCAGGTCTTTCCTGAGTGAGACATCACCACCCCAGTCTCCTAATGGACATGTCTGCTTGCTTCAGGAGAGCCCAGTCAATGCAGAAGGAGCTGTTATTGGGGTGGGGCAGTTTCAGGACCAGCTTCACTCATCATATCCTTGTACTGCCGTTTGAAGAAACCGAGCTGTGGGAGCAGAGACAGAGGAGTAAAGGCCACCGAAGCCAGGGGAGCAGGTAAGGGCCATGCTGACCAGGAGAGACAGAGAAACAGAGACAAAGAATAATGTGACAGAGTGTTGAAGGGACATGGGAAAAGGAGCAGGGAGAGAGATGGCATCAATATTGGGGCCAGTAAAGACAGAAGAGAAATATAAAATATAAGAAGGAAGAGAGGAAGAACTACCCCTTATGTAATGGTCATTCTGTACCGAGGAGCACTCTAAGTGCTCTGCATATATTAGCTCAAGTACTTTCACAAAATGGGTATTTATATTCTCATTTTACAGCTAAAGAAACTAAGGATCTGTGATTTGCCAAATATCACACTGTTAGCAGCACTGCTATGAGTCAAACCCAGGAATGAAGCTGCTGAGTAAGAAGCAGTAAAGGGAGATGGGAGCCAGCAGGAAGGGGGCCATGAGGGAATACCTTGTACAGTCCCATGGTAATGAGGGCCAAGAGCACCAAGCCCCCCACGGAGCTGCCCACAATAAGTGGTACAGGGTCGTGCACTTCATATGGCTCCACTTTGGTCTCTGTCTAGGGCAGGGAGAGAGGAAGTGGGGGTGCATCAAAGGAGACAGATTCTGGATTTCTGGGGGTCCCCCAGCCAGACCTTGTGTACACCATAAACCCAATAACTAACCACGCCCCAAGCCCCTAACCCCAGCCCTCGGTCTTCCCTCTTCCACCCACCTCTCCCACCCTCCCAATCTCTATCAATCTCTATCTCTCTCCGTCTCTGTCCACCAATCCCAGCCTCCCTTCCTCCTTCCAATTGTCCCTCTGTACCCAAGACAGATACCTGGGCCCTCACAAATGCCCCCTGTCCTGGAAGCAGGGCAAACATCAAGTCATTAAACAAGATCTCCGCTGTGCTCAGAACCTGAAGGTAATTATGTGAAGTCTGTGGGAGAGAGAGGGTGGGAGCTGAACCCATGGGCCCCCTGCAGTATCATATCTGGCCCAGTTGAGCCTCAGGACCCCACATACTTTGATATACCAGTCAAATGAAAGGTTGCCTTTAAGGGTGACGTTGAATTCTTCTTGGCTGTCAAAGGACAGGATGTCACACTGGACTCTCTGACAGACAGCAATGGAGCAGTTCTGGGGAAGGGAGGAGAGGGGAGAGATGTCTAAGAAAGCTGAATGCAGAATATGCTCCGTGCATTCAGCTCACTCAGTTGAGAGACAGCACCAATGTGGGGACAGTGCTGAGTCTCTATGTGGCCCCGAATCTGGGGTTAGGCTTATTCTTACCAGCACTGAGGTCATCTTAAGCATGGCCAGGAAGTCAGAGTGAGGGGGGACCCTCTCCTCAGTGTGGCATGTACTGGAGAGGTTCTGAGGAAAGACAGACACTGTGAAAAGAGAGAAATGAGGGCTCCTGGGTCCACCCTCAAAGAGGGTAAGATGGCCCAGGCCAGTGAAGAGTCAGAAATGGCTCCAAAACAGAGATTTTAGGAAGACCAGGGCTGTGGAGGGAGGATTTGGGCCTACTCTTCAGGCCTAGCTAGACTTACCTGGGAGAAGGTGACCTGGGGATGTTCCCACACAGCCACCTTGTTCAGCTGGATAGGGATCCAGAATACCACACTGATGGGGAGGCTCCTCTGTCCCAAGTTGTTGAACTACAAGGTGTATGTTGGGAAAGGGGAAGAATATCAGGGCTCTGGCCTTTCTGCTCCTACAAGCAACTACAATCAGCCTCCCACCCCTGACAGCCTGGCACACCTAAATAAGGCCTCACAGACCAAAGTGCCCTACCACTTGATGCTTTCTGGGAGGTAGTCATGTGTTGTGGTTAAACACATGTTCAAGAGTCAGACAAGTTAGTCCTAAGTAGTGGCTCATCCACTTACTAGTGGCGAGACCATGGGCATATTTTGTTAACCTCTCTATGCTCGTTTCTTCATCTGTAAATGGGAAAATGATAGTGCCTCCATCATAAAGTTATTATGAAGATAAAATGAGTGAATTATGGATGTGTGTATACAATCGGCCCTCTGTATCCACAGGTTCTGCATCTTTGGATTCAACCAACCATGGATTGAAAGTATTTAGGAAGAAAATGTTACATTGTTGTTGACGTGTACTATGTAGTTAGACCTACAAAAATTGCCTAACATGTACAGACTTTTTTTTCTTGTCATTAGTCCCTAAACAATATAATATAACAACTATTTACATAGATTTTACATTGCATCAGGGTATCTAAGTAATTTAGAGATAATTTAAAATATAAGGGAGAATGTTCATAGGTTATATACAAATACTATATTACTTTATATAAGGAACTTGAGCATCTGTGAATTTTGGTAATGGCTGGGGGTGAGGGAGGGTTGGTCCTGGAATCAATCCCCTTTACAAACCAAGGCGACAGCTGTATGCACATATGTGTGTGTATGTGCAGAGTGAAAGCAAACTTGGAACAGAGCCTGGAACATAATAGGCACCTGAGGCTTGTTTCCCATCACTATTTCTGCATTCTCAGCACATTGATTTCCCTTCCTGGATCCTCAGCTCCCCACCTGATACTGATGCTTTATAACATGGCTGGTCTTCTCTGAAGCTGTGAAGTTGAGATATTTGGTAGAGACCTCATGGCTGACGGTGGAAAAAAGAAGGGACAGGAGGTAACAGAACATCAGGAGTGTTCTGAGAGGGAGGTCTCAGGGTAAGTGTGTAAGGGGGTGAACAGGGCCATGGGTAATACAGCCCTGAATGAATGCTGTTCAGGGGACAATGTGTGTGCCAGTTTAGGCCACACACACACACACACACACACACACACACACACACACACACACATGCACATGCATAAATATATGCACAAACACACACTCCTGCACAAATACACAGGCACACGTGTGCACAGACATATACACAGATAAACAATGGGCTAAGTCCAGCCCAGTGGTAAAGGCGGAGATAAAGCCCTAGAAGCCATTACCTGGTGACCACCATATAGACAGTGTATTTCACAGGTAGCTCCAGCTGGAATTCAGTTTTGTTGGTCCTGGGCATGTTGTTATCACTGAAGAGAAACAGAGAGTTCTTTCCTTTTCCCTCTCCCCGACCCTCCACCTCCAACCAACCACCAAGTCCTATTCTCTCTGAATCCTAAACCCCACTGTTCTCTACCCCCTGAATCTACTTAGCCCAGGCCCATAACTACTTACCTGGATGTCAGCAGTGCCTTCTTCTCATTGGTCCTTGAGTTTAAAACTGTTCCCATACCAATCCCCAGCCCTCCTGGAGGGTGATCTTTCTAGCATGCAGATGTGATCATGTCACTCCCAAGTTAAACTGCAAATTTCCTAAGAGCACCCATCAGTCATTTTATGACACTGCTGATATCTAACCAATTCTAAATCCTACATTATATCCTTAAGCCATACTTAAAAACAGCCTGATCTTTCCAGTCCCCAGGCTTTGCTTGGTACACTCTTCCTTCTTTCTGTCTTCATGCCTATCCTCCATTTATGCCTTTGCTTGGTTAACTCAGCCTAAACATTTCTTCAGGAATCTTCTCTGAATGCCAAACTCCCAAGAACACAGGACATAGTTCATTTCATACAATATTATAATCACAAGCTTTCCTGCCTATTTTTGCCACTAAATTATAACCTCTGTGAAGGCAATAACCACAGCTGTCTTGTCCATTCCTGCCCCACCAGTACTGACCACAATGCCTGGCACATGGTGGGTGCTCATTCAGTGTTTGTTGAATGAGCTGAAGGGAGAACCAGTGGGGAGAGGGCAATGGTTCACCCCGGGCAGAGGGTTGGGGCCTCAAAAGGGAGGATGCTTGTAGGAGGCCAGGCACAACATACCTGGTCACACTGGCTTTGAGAAGTACTCTGTTTCCAAGGGAAGCATTAGATTCCACATCTAATGTGATATTAAAGGTGACCTGGAGTTAGAGAAAGGAGAGACAGTGACAAGTATAGAAGAGAAGAAACACCCAAATATTCATTAACTGAAGAATGGACAAATAAAATGTGGTACATCCATACAACAGAATATTACTCAGCAGTAAAAATGAAGTCCTGACACATGCTGCAGCATGGATATCCTTGAAAACATGCTGAGTGAAAGAAGCCAGTCACAAGGGACCACATATCATATGATTCCATTTATATTAACTGTCCAGAATAGGCAAATCTAGAGACGGAAAGTGGTTGCCTAGTGCTGGGAGAGATAGGAGGACTGGGGTTGATGGCTAAGAGGAGCAGGGTCATTTCTTGGGGTGAGAAAATATTCTAAAATGATCATGATGATAGATTCACAACTCTTTGAACAACCTAAGAGCCATTGAATCATATACTTCAAATGGGTGAATTGTGTGGTATATGGATTATAGCTCAATAAAACTGCTTCTCAAAAAAGGAAACTCTACTTTAAAAAAAAAAAAAAGAATTTAGAAGACGAAAAAGAAAAGGTGAGGAGAAGCCCACAGCCTGACCTCTGAGTTTTCTGGGAAGATGGGGTGATTTATGTTGCATCTGCAGCTCTGCAAGGCATCAGGACCTTTGATGGAGGTATCAGACTCACAGGTCACATGCCAGGATCGCCATGAGTGCCAGTTCTGGAAAGCAAGAGAGGCAGAAGTGGTGATTACAACCACTAGCCATGGGGACCAGAAAAGCAAAGTCAGATGGAGCCTATGAAAGGTTTGGCTACCTGGACCCCTGACACAGTCCGATAGGACAAGCCAGGAGGGTAGAAGAAGGTGACTTGAGTCTTGTAGGAATCCTCGCCCTGGTTTCTCACAGTCAGCGTCACGTTGAAGTCCCGGGGACCACCCACCACCAGGGTGTCCAGGCTGTGGGAGGAATAAGGAAGGCCATGAGATGCTGAAGGCTTCCCTGTGGCAAGTCTGCTCTGTTGGGAAAGAGGTGTGAGCTCTTGGAGATGGAAGACGGTGGATGGGGCAACCATACAAACACCTCCAGCTGATCTGTGCCAGGCTCCCTTAGGGACCAGGAGAGAAAACAGAGCACCAGTTCTTAGTGTAGGCTTGAAGGTAGCAATGAGGGAAAGAAGCTCACCTCATAAAACTGAAGGCGATGCTGAGGTCATCCTGGCAGATGCTGTCATTACCACAATTCTTCTCAAAGGGAAACTGCGAAAAATAGAATGTGATAAAATGAAATAAAAGGAAATAACGAAATAATATGAAAAGAAACAATAAAATATTGAAATAAAATTATTTGAAATAAAATGAGCTTCAACAATCTTGGCCTCTTGTCCCTTCCATTCCCCTGCAGGACCCCAACTCCAGGACTCACCAAGGCTGTGAAGAGTCTCTGAGCATCCACAGCCAGCACTGGCCGAAGGTTCCCAAAAGAGGACAAGGGCTGCCCCACCAGAGAGAAGTTGAGGCGAAGGACAATCGGAGTTACTGAGTTCTTTACACAATCCTGAGAGATAGCAAGGGTTTGGGGGTCTGCTTCCTCAGCTTCCCAAGCCCACCCACGCTTGGAGGAGCCAGAAATGTGGCTACCCGCTGCTCACCGGTAACTGTAGCTTCAAGGTCTCACATTTCTGATTCAGCCCCAAGCTCTGTGTCTGTCTGTATGTGTTGTTCTTTGTCTCATCAAAGATGGCCCGGGAAAGCTGATGACTTGGGTCCAGGGCCAGGTCATATGTGACAATGCTCTGGATATCTCCTGAAGGGGCAGGGCATCACAGTTGTGAGGATTTTGGCTTTGGGGTCAGACAGGCAGGTGTTCGAGGCTCAGCTCCTCTGCTCCCCAGCTGTATGATTTGGGGTGTTATCTGACCTCTTTGAGTCTCAATTCTTTATTTTTAAATCGAGGACAATAACTGTACCTTCTCAATGGTGAAAATGAAATGAAATAGTGTCTATAAAGCATTTAGTATAGTGCCTGCCATATAGTAAGTGCTCAGTAAATGGTAGCTTTTCTGCTACATAATAGAAAATTAAGCATATATCTCTGGGTGCTTTTAACATTTTTTCTTTGTCTTTGGTCTTCAGCAGTTTGTACCTTGGTATGGTACAGTGTATAATGTTGTATACACTGATATATGTACTGCGTATTATTTCTTTTATATTTATTCTACTTTAATTTGGTAGAGAATCTTGCTGTCTTTCATCGATTTAGAAAATTCTTCACCATTATTTCTTCAACTGTTGCTTCTCTCTTGTTCTCTCTCCCAATCTCAATCTCTCTCTCTCTCCATGCCCCCCATTCCTTTTAGAATTCCAATTACATGTTTATTAAGTCTTTCACCATGTCCCATACATCTTGTATGGTTTCTTTCTGTAGTTTTAATCCTTTTCTCTGTGTGTGTTAATTGGAGCATTTTCAATTGATTTACTTTTCAGTTCACTAACTCTCTGTTCTGCTTCTAATCTATTAAATTCGTTTATTGAATTCTTAATTTCAGTCAGTATATTTTTCAGTGCTAGAATTTCCATTTGATCCAATTTTATGAATTTCAAGTCTTTTCCAAAGTTCTCCATCATTTTCTCTCTTTTCTTAAATATAATAATTGAAGTTATGTTTTAAATTTCTATCTGATAAAATTTCTGAATCACCTATTGGTCTATTTGTATTGTCTATTGTTTCTCTTGGTTGCTGGACTCGATGGACATTGTCCTAATAGAAAGACCAAGTTGTTTACCAAGGTCTCTCCAAAATCTCTATTTCCCTAGCACTGGGAAGCTGCTGAATTTCTACTACACTCTTTGGCTCTCCAGTTTCTGTCTTCTACTGAGTGCCTTGGAGTACTGACCTGCACATGCATGGCTTAAGAGCCAGCCAATGACTTGAGAGGAATTTCTATGTAAACTTGGAGGACACTTCCTCTGTAATCCTCTACTCTCCAAGACTTCGTTCTCATTTCTAGCCATGCTGGCTGCTCCAAACTCTGACTGCTGTCTCCTTAGAATAATAAGATTACTACTAGAAACCTAGTTTTATGATCTCCCCTATTTCTCTCTAGTACCACGACTACTATTCCCCCACTCCAAGCACAATGCCACTCTTTAAAAGTAGAAACAAGGGAAGAAGTCAAGTTAGTTGTGATAAAATGCATGCCTGAACACTTTGTGAATTTGTGTTTAGCTTTATCAACACAACCTCCCTTTTGAATGAGTTATCTCTCAGTTAAAAAAAAAGATCTCAGTTAATTCACAGGTATGGGGACCTTGTTTATCTGGAAAACTGAGAGAGTAAGGGAGTACCACATGATCACTTCTTTGATGGGGTTTGCTGGGCCTCCCCACCCAACAAGGGAATGCTGTCAGAGCAAGAAGGCTGTCAGAGGCTATGAGGACTTTGCTTTGGACTGCCAAGAAGGCTGAAAAGGCTAGGCCACCCATCATTTAACCTGTTGAGACTTATTCCCCATCCTCACCTTCTCTCAGCCGGTCCCGTGTGCTCTTGTGAACACGGAGGCAGACTCTGACCTCCCCAGCAGTCTGGTCTTTCATCACATGTTCACGACACTCAAACACATTCCTTGCCAATTCCCTGGGTGTGAACTCCATGGTCACCTCAACTTTCAGCACAGGCTGGGACCTGTAGTGACACCAAAGGGCCATCAGGAGCCTTAAGACAGCAAAGCTGCTCCTTAGAGGGAAGACACCTGGTGTGCTCTGAAAGAAGTTCTCACCTGAGCAGCAGTACATGCCCCTGGGCCCCCACAGCCAGATCCACCAGTCCATCCATTGTGAGGTCCTGGCCCCCACTCAGTGACTGTCCAAAATACTGGAGCCTAGAGGAGAGCTGGGAGCCTGCAATCCGCTGAGGGTAGAAAAGAGGAGGAGAGAAAGAGTGGGAAAGAATAAGGAAATGTGTAACAGTTGCCCCGGGTGACCCAAAGAGAGATTGTCTAAGCCCCATTCAAATCCCACAACTTCTCAAGGAATTACAGCAACTATTCAGCTTCAGATCACAGTCTTGAGATGACACCCAAAGTTTCCATTAATTACCTAGTTTTTGAAGGAAAACAAATAGTTTTACAGGAAAGAAGTTACATCATATACTACTTTATTCAACTGAATCTCATTTACATAGTTAGGATAATGCAAACACGAAATATTCATCTTACCAAAATCATCATATAAATATAAAGAGTGAGAGAAGGAGTAGAAGCCATTTGAATATGTGGCAACAGGAGTCTAAAGGAGCTCAGTCCTCACCTCCCATAGAGGGAAGTCAAAGCTAAAACAAACATCAAGACACCAGGAAGATAATGATGCCATTGGGAAGTATAGAGAATTATCTAAAGAACTAAAAGTAGTTTCTTCAAGAGAGGGAGAAATAAAAGAAAATAACAATATAGGTATGGAAATCGTTATTCTTCATAATAAACCTTTAAGAACTTTGAGTCTCTAATATATGTGCAAGAATAACACTGAAAGAGTAACACATAATTTAAAAAGAAAAGGTTAAAGAATTTTTATCATGTACTTAATGCCACTGAACTGTACACTTTAAAAAGGTTAAAATTTTCTGTCATGTGTGTTTAACTACAATTTTATTTCTTGAGGTAGGCCTATATTGCTATGACTTTTCCTCTTAGGAGTGCTTTCGCTGTGTCCCATAGATTTTGAGTTGTGTTTTCATTTGTCTCTAGGTATCTTTTGATTTCTTCCCTGATCTCATTGACAACCCATTCATTGTTTAGTAGCATGTTATTTAGCCTCCATGTGTTTGTGTATTTTCCAGTTTTTTCTTGTAGTTTATTTCTAATTTCCTACCATTGCGATTGGAGAAGATGGTTGATATGATTTCAGTCTTCTTAAATTTATTGAGACTTGTTTTGTGTTCTAACATAAGATCTTTCCTAGAAAATGTTCCATGTGCGCTTTTTGAGAAGCATGTGTATTTTGCTGCTTTGGGGTAGGATGTTCTGAAAATATCCATTAAATCCATCTAGTCTAGTGTGTCTTTTAGGCCCATTGTTTCCTTGTTGATTCTTTGCCTGGAAGATCTGTCCATTGGTGTCAATAGGGTGTTAAATTCTAGTACTATGAGTGTATTACTGTTTACCTCTCCTTTTATGTCAGTCAATAATGCTTTATGTATGTAGGTGCTCCTATGTTGGATGAGAATATGTTTACAAGGGTTATGTCCTCTTGATTTATCAATTCCATTATCATTATATAATGCCTTTCTTTGTTTCTTTGTTATGCCACAATTTTAAAAATGATTTGTCAACTGAAAGGAAGCATGGGATGCTGAAAATTTGCTATATCTTAATTTAGGTAGTGCATACTCAGGTTCACAGATAATATGAAAATTCATCAATTAAATTTTGTGTGTACACACATTATACCTCAATTTTTTTGAGAAAAATTTATTGTATTCTGTTGAGAGGAAGTTTTGTTTTCAAATTATGTATAATGTAATAGTTGAGAGAGCCATAGCAGGTTTGCTTGTCCAAAATGGAGCACCCCCTACCCTAATCACAGGGAAAAAAAGCAAGTAAAAAATGCAAACAGTAGAACAATAGGATAGCATGATCCTTTTTGCATTTGGTTTTAACTTCAAAGTCTGTGGGGGATGTGTGCATATGTGCATGTGTGTGTGCATGCATGTATGTGGACACATAAAGTACCCTCCCCTAACCCTTGTTTTTCTTTGTGGGTTGAGTTATGGTGCAGATAAAGGGAAGAGAGTAGGGGTATCACTGTTTACTTTATTTCTTTTTTTATTAAGTTTATTGGGGGTAACATTGGTTAATACAATTATATAATTTTCAGGTGCACATTATAATTTGACATCTGTATATTCTATTATGTGATTACCACCCAAAGTCCAGTTTCCTTCAGCTACCATATATTTGATCCCCTTTATCCACTTCATCCTCTCCTTAAACCCTATGTTTGACTCCCTTTACCCAGTCTACCTCCCCCTTCTTCCCCCCACCAGTAATCACTACTCTATAGACTTCTGCTAACCACTAGTCTATAGTCCATGTCCATGAGTCTCTGTTTGTTTGTCCTGCTCATTTGTTGCTTTTAGGTTTATATCCCACATATAAGTGATAGCATGTAACTTTCAACTTTTTCTGTCTGGCTTATTTCGCTTAGCATGATTATCCCGAGGTCCATCCATGTTGTCGCAATGGCAGTATTTCATCTCTTCTTATGGCTGAGTAATATTCTATTGTATATATGTGCCACAGCTTCTTTAGCCAAACATCTATCATAGGACACTTCGGTTGCTTCCATGTCCTGGTCACTGTGAATAGTGCTGCTATGAACATCGGTGTGCAAATATCTTTTTGGATATGAGTTTTCAAGTCTTTAGGGTAAATACCCAGTAGAGGGATTACTGGATCATATGGTAGATCAATTCTTAGTTTTTTGAGGAATCTCCATACTGTTTCCCATAGTGGCTGTACCAATTTGCAGTCCCACCAGCAGTGCATGAGGGTTCCTTTTTCTCCGCATCCTCTCCAACGTTTGTTATTACTTGTCCTATTGATCATAACTATTCTAATAAGTGTGAGATGGTATCTTAACTGTGGTTTTGATTTGCATTTCCCTAATAGCTAGCAATGTTGAACATCTTTTTGTATGTTTGCCATTTGTATGTCCTCTAGGGAGAAGTGTCTGTTCAGGTCTTCTGCCCATTTTTGATTGGATCGTTTGTTTTTGTTATTGAGTTTTATGAGTTCTTCATATATTTTGGATATTAGGCCCTTATTGGAGGTGTTGCTTGCAAATATATTTTCCCATTCAGATGGTTCTCTCTTTACCTTATTGATGATTTCTTTTGCTGAGCAAAAGCTTTTTAGTTTGATGTAGTCTCATTCATTTACTTTTGCTTTTACTCCCCTTGCCTTTGAGGTCAAATTCATAAAATCCTCTTTAAGTCTAAGGTCCTTGAGTTTAGTTATTAAGTTTTCATCTATGCACTTTATTGTTTCAGGTCTTATATTCAGGTCCTTAATCCATTTTGAGTTAATTTTGATGTATGGTTATAGACAACAGTCTAGTTTCATTCTTTTGCAGGTGGTTTTCTAGTTTTCCCAGCATCATTTATTGAACAGGCTTTCCTTTCTCCACTGAATGTTTTTGGCTTCTTTGTCAAAAATTATTTGCCCATATAAATATGGGTTTACTTCTGGACTCTCGATTCTGTTCCACTGTGTGTGTTCGTGTGTCTGTTTTGCTGTCAGTACCATGTCGTTTTGATTTAGTGTCACTTTGTAGTATAATTTAAAGTCAGGCAGAGTGATGCCTCCAGCCTCATTCTTTTTTCTCAGGATGGCTTTAGCAATTGGGGGTCTTTTGTGCTTCTATACGAATCTGATGATTTTTTGTTCTATTTCTTTAAAAAACACTGATGAGATTTTGATGGAGACTGCATTAAATCTGCATAATGCTTTAGGTAACATGGTCATTTTAACTATGTTAATTCTTCCAATTCTTTCCATTTCTTTGTATCTTCTTCGATTTCTTTTAATAGAGTCTTATAGTTTTCATTATATAAGCCCTTTATTTGTTTTATTAGATTTATTCCTAAGTATTTTATTCTTTTGTTGCAATTGCAAAAGGAAAGATTTTTTCCACTTTGTTTCTGATGCTTCATTATTAGAGTATAGGAACGCTATGAATTTTTGAACGTTGATTTTGTATCCAGAGACTTTACTGTATCACTGTTTACTTTAGATTTATAAATTTGTACAGGCATGTAAAGCTTTTGTAATAAAAGTTAAGTAAAATCAGAGCCTTCAAACCCCATTCACACAGAGAAGCAAAAGGCACCAAATGAAAAGAGGCATAATTAGAATATTCACACAATTATGGAAAGAGGTGCCATGATACAGAAAGAAGTGGGTAAGGCAGTGGTTCTTAGCCCTGATGACAACTTAAGAGCCTGTAAAAAAATATACTGGGGGCAATATAGCGTACTATTCCTTTTATATAAAGTTCTAGAATGGGTAAAACTAATCTGTGGTGAAAAATAATCAGAACTGCAGTTTCCTCTGGGATGGAGTGGGTTCAGAAATTGACTGGGAAAAGGCAGGAGGGAACTTTCTGGAGTGATGATGTTTTGTATTTTGTTAGGAGGGTTGGTTACACAGGTATATGCATTTGTCAAAAGTCATTGAATGGCTAAAAATTTGTGCATGTCTTATTTATAAATTTTATCTTAAAACTAACAGTAAGCAAATATTAGTTAATGATATACATGCTGAAGTATTTATAGGTGAAGTAGACTAATATTGCAACTTACTTTGAATTCCTTAATTAAATAAGATGGACTGTAGAGGAAGAATGACTATGTGATCAAGTAAATCTAGTAAAATGTTAATTGTAGATTCTAGGTTGTAAATATATAGGTGTTTACAGTACAGTTCTTTTAACTTTGCTTATAAATTTGAAAATGTTCTTAATTCCCCGAGAGGGGCCCTGTCTGTCTGCACAAGTCACAAGCCCCATGATGCATGCAGTTCTGGTAGGGTTTCCTCTGATGGGAGATATTCAGTGCTAAAACTGGGATAGACCTAGGCAAACCATGACTTTTGGTTACCCTACTAGACTGAGATTCGGAAAAAAGGAATGCCCACATCCCAACACTTCCAGCTTCTCATTTCTACCTCTAAGCCTTAATCTTATCGGTACAGTGTGGGTGTTGGTGCCCCTAAGACCTTCTTTAGTTGTGGTAAGAATTTAGAATTGAGGAGTCTTTGAGGTTTCTGTGAAGTGTGTTATATTTTTAAAATTCTGAAAAGGAGTAATGGAAGAACTAATCTGGCAGCTGTGAGAAACCTGAATTAGCAAGCAACAGATCAGCAAAGAGGCTACTGTCATGATAGGGACAGTGATAGGGCCTCACCTGGCTGTGGGAGAGGCTGATGCCCAGTTCTGAGGTTCCATGAAATAGGTAGACAGCACCCCGGTTCTCCTGCTCTCCTGGGGCCCCGATGGCCACGTCCATCAGCTTGTCTCCATTTACATCCCCCAGCACTGTCAGGGCTGCCCCAAAGCGACTCCAGGGATGGCCTTGCTCCCCACGGAGAACAGCGTTACACTGCCACCTAGACCTCTGCTAAACAAAAACAGTGCCAGCCCCCAACCCTGGCAACTTCTCCACCCCACACCCAGGCCCCACCCAGCCCAGGTCCCATCAGCCACTCACCCCCCGGGGCAAGGGGCACACAGACACCTGGCCCCCGCGAGTCAGCTCATAGTAATGGGGGGCCCCGATGAGGACCAGGTCGGAACTACCATCTCTATTCACGTCCACAGAGCAGAGCGAGGCCCCGAAGTAGGAGCCGATCTGAAAGAGACAAGGCCAGGATCGCATACCACTTCCCACCTAAAGCAGAGCGGGAAGGGGTCAGGGGGCGCGGGGGGCGATTCCACTATGAAAAAAATCATGCCTTCTGGGGAAAGCCCTTGGAGCAGATGTGATCCTCTATATAATTCATGATAAATTCTCATTTGGATGTGCTGCCGGAGAGAGAAGCATGTTATAGATTTGGTGAGCAGTGGGTAAGGATTTACTTCAAATGGTGTTTCAGGGAGATTAAGATAGCAAAGAACTTGGATTGGAAAACACAGACAGAAAAGCTTACAAGAGCAGACAGGATATCTTCTCAATACATTGGAAGTCTTTAGGAGAGTGAAAAATCAGAGTTGGCAGTCCGGCTAATAAGGAATCAACTGGCTTGTATTAAAAATAAATATTGCTGCAGGAATACTTTTGTGTGGTATTGAAAAATAATGTTTACCTTTTAAAAGAATTTTTAAAATATGTTAAAAAAAAAAAGTAGGTTCAATGTCAGTATGTAGACTTCACCCATAGGATTCATCCATTTAGTCATTCGTTCATTCATTTATTCAACAAACAAGGGTTTGTTATTTGCTGAGCATGAGGCTACGTAGTGGAGACACAGAGCCTTTCCAGGGCTCTCAGTGTAGCATGGTAGAGCTGAGATAATAGTAACAGATAAAGATAGCAATTTCAAATTAGGGCAAGTTCTAGGAAAGAAAAAATTCAGGGGATATCAAGACATGACTCCTGCCCCAGACAGCACTGAGGGAGGCCTTAATGACAGCTCAACAAAGACACTTAAGCATCAATCTAAAGTCAGTAGAATTTTTTTTTGTTTTTAGGTCAGGTTTATCAGGATATAATTTACTTACAATAAAATCCAGCCTTCTTGGTGTAGTTTCATGAGTTTTGACAAAACACTAGTCATGTAACCATCACCATAGTCAAGATACAGAACAGTTTTATCATGCCTCACTAGAATCAACCTCTTCTCTCAATCACCAGTCCTTGGCAACTACTCATCTCTTTTCTGTCCCTATAGTTTTGCCTTTTCCAAAATGTTATATAAATGGAATTATATAGTATATAGCCTTTCAGGTCTGGCTTCTTTCAGCTAGAATAACATTTATATTCATCCATGGTGTTGCATGTATCAGTATTCCATTTCTTGTTATTTCTAGTGCATATTCCATTGTATACACCACAGTTTTTTTATCCATTCCCCAGCTGAGTGACACTTGGGTTGTTTCCAGTTTTGGGCAATTATGAGTAGAGCCACTAGAAACTTTCATATACAGGTTTTCATGTGAATATCTATACTTATTTCTCCTAGGTAAATAGTAAATATCTAGGAGAGGTATTGCTGTTATGGTAACTGTATGTTGAACTTTATAAGATACTGACAAATTGTTTTCCAAAGTAGGCATGCCATTTTTCATTCTGACAGCAATGTATGAGAGTTTTCATTGATAAACATCCTTGCCAGTACTTGATATTGTCAATTTATTTCTAATACATGTGCAGTAGCATCTAATTATGATTTTAATTGTATTTCCTTGATGATTATTAGCATGGAACCTATTTTCATTTGCTTCTTTGCCATCTATACACCTTCTTTGGTGAAGTGTCTGTTCAAATATTTTGCTTATTTTTTAACTGTTTCTTGTTGTTGAATTTCAAGAGATCTTTATCATATATTCTGAATTTAAGTCCTTTGTCAAATATGTAATAAAAAAAGAAGGAAGACTTACAAATATTTTCTCCCAGTCTCTTTAGCTTATCTGTTCATTCTCTTAATAGTGTCTTTCACAGAGCAAAAACTTTTTATTTCAATGAATTTTTATTTATCAATTTTTCCTTTATGGACTACATTTATAGCATATCTAAGAATTCTTTGTTTAACACAAGGTCACAAAGATTTCCTCCTATGTTTCCTTCCACAAGTATTATAGTTTCAGATTTTACATTTAGCTCTATGATCCATTTAGAATTAATCTTAATATGATATGAGATATGGGTAGAGGTTTTCATTTTCTTTTGTTTTTTATTATGCATGTCCAATTGTTCCAGCACCATAGAGCTCTCCATTGAATTGTCATCGTGCCTTTATTGAAAATCAATTGACTAGAGGCTTCTGGTCAGGATGGTAGAAAAGGTAAACTCTGTTCATCTCTTCTAATGATCACATCAAAATTACAGCTAAATTACAGAACAACCATCATTGGGAACCGCCTGAAGACTAGCTGAACAGAAGTCCTATATAACTAAGGATATAAAGAAGAAGCCACATCAAGACTGGTAGGAGGGGCAGAGATGTGAAATGGGCAGGTCCCATATCAACGGTGTGGTAATTAAGAATTGGGAGGGATATCTCAGCTATGGAGGTTCCCCCTGAGGAATTAGGGGTCCAGCCTCACATCAGGCTCCACAACCCGGGCACCGGTGCCAGAAAGAAGAGTCTCCATAACACCTGGCTATAAAAACCAGAGGGAATTGCATTGGAGAAATACAAAGGGCTGCTGAAGACCAATGTGCTGCTCTTAAAAGGCCCACACACAGACTCACTCACTATCAAACTCACTCACTCTTAACCTCCAGCACAGGAACAGCAGCTTGAAAAGTGTTAGGGGCATACTGGGAGGAACTAATTGACTAACTTCAGGGTGAGGACTGGAGGGGCAGGGTTAAAGCAACTCTCTCCAGGGATGGAAGTGCTGGCAGCCACCATTGTTCCTCCAAGCCCACAGGCCCAGCGTAGGTGGGCACCAGATCTGAGCTCCCCACTAACCTGGCTAACACCATTCCCTGCGCTCTGGTGACTCTCTGAGAATCGACCCCACCCATCTCTCCTACATAGCCCAAGTCTCTTTCAGCAGTTCCTCTACACAAGTGGCCAGCTTTGGCTCATGCTGTAGACTTTCCTAAAATCTCTCAAAGGTCCACAAACTCCAAATGAGCCGTGGCAGCCTCAGCATGCCTTATACCTTTTGCTAAGTGGCCCCAAACCTCACATAAGCAGCAACCAGTCCTAACTTGCATTGTAACACCCATCAGGTGGCCAAGCCTGGCATAAGTGACAGCAAGTCTTGGCTTGGAACACAGTTTCAACTAAGCAGCTACAAGCCCAACACAAGTGGTGGCTGGCCTCAGCTTGCATTATAGTACCCATCGAAGGGTCCCCATTCTGACACAAGTGGCAGCCAGTCTTAGTTCACAGCATAGCCTCTCACAAGCAATTCCAAGCCCATCACAAGCAGCAACCAAACATATATCACTTTTTGGATCCTACGAGGTGGCCCCAAGCCAAGCACAAGTGACGGCTGATCTTGGCCTGCACCAGAGTCCATGACAAGAGGCTCCAAAACCACTACACCCAGTGGCCAGCTTCAGAACATACCAGAGCACCACCCAACCAACTCCACAAATGACATATCCAAAAGGTGAACTCAGTTGGCACCAGAGCCCTGCTAAAGTGACTCCCACTCTGTGGGATGAGCTCCCACACAACAGCCAGCCCTCACAGCCAGTTATCCTGAGAGACAACCCCACCCAATGATGTGCCAATTGAGGCTCACCTACAAGATGAGGACACAAATAACCACACAGGGGACATCCTTGGAGCATCCAGCTCAGATAACCAGGGAGACAGTGCCACTGGACCCCATAGGACACCTTCTACATAAAGCCATTATCTCAAGACGATGAGACATATCAAATATACATAATACATATTGACGAACACAGGGAGTCAGCCAAATTGAGAAGAAAAACAAAAATGTCCCAAATGAAAAAACAGGACACAGCTCCACAAAAAGAACTAAACAAAATAAGATAAGCAATCTACCAGATAAAGAATTCAGAACACTGGTTATAAGTATGCTTAATAAACTTAGGGGAGAACTTCAACAAAGAGATAGTAAACATAAAATAAGACACAGAAACCATATAAAAGAACCAGTCAGAAATGAATAATACCACCTGAAAAATATATAATTGTATTAACCAATGTTACGCCAATAAACTTAATTAAAAATTTTTTTTAAAAAAAAGAAATGAATAATACAACAATTAAAATGAAGAATACATTAGAGGAAATCAACAGCAGATTAGATGAAGCAGAAGATCAAATCAGCAACCTGGAAGATATGGTAGCAGAAAACACCCAATCAGAACAGTAGAAAGGAAAAAGGACTTTAAAAATGAGGATATTTTAAGGGACCTCTGGGCCAGAGTCAAGCATGCCAACATTCACATCATAGGGATACCAGAGGAAGAAGAGACAGAGCAAGGGATTGAAAACCTACTTGAATAAATAACTAAAAACTTCCTCAACTTGGTAAAGGAAATGAACATACAAGTCCAGAAAGTTCAGAGTTCCAAACAAAATGAACTCAAAAAGGCCCACCCCAAGACATATCATAACTGAAATGTCAAAGGTTAAAGACAAAGAGGGAACCTTAAAAGTAGCAAGAAAAAAGCAGTTAGTTACATTCAAAGGAGCCCCCATAAGATTATCAGCTGATTTCTCAACAGAAATTTTGCAGGCTAGAAGGGAATAGCACAAAGTACTCAAAATGATCCAAGACAAAGACCTAAAACCAAGATTACTCTATGGAGCAAGACTATCATCTAGAATTGAAGGAGAGCTAAAGAGCTTCCCATGCAAGAAAAAGCTAAAAGAGCTCATCACCACTAAACCAGTATTACAATAAATATTAAAGGGACTTTTTTAAGAAGAAGAAGGGAGGACATAAATAAAATGGCAATAATTACATAACTATCTATAATTATTTAAAATGCAAATAGACTAAATGTTCCCATCAAAAGACATAGGGTGGCTGAATAATTTTTTTAAGAAAAAGACTTATACATATGCTGCCTACAAGACCCACTTCAGATCGAAAAACACACAGACTGAAAGTAAAGGAATGGAAAACAAAACATCATGAAATGGAAATGAAAAAAAAATTGAGGGAGCAATACTTATATCAAACAAAATATAC